CACTCAAATGGCAATCGGTTACGGAGACATCACCGCCGGTGAATCCAACTCCGCCGGAGATCCGCTCTTCCCGTGGCTTATGTACCTCTTCTCTGCTCATCTTATTGATTATGCCTAGTGCGTATGTGTCAAATGTCTCTGTCTTGTCTGAGATGTGTTTGGGTTTTTTTGTCTTTTGATTTCAGTAAGATCAAAAATTCGACGGAAGATCTCTACTCTGGTAGAAATTCCGGTGAAGATCTCGATAAGCTTCTTCACGACTGTATCTCAAGTTGCAAGCAAGATGCTCGGTACCAAAACGACGTCAGATTCCTCAAGATCTGGTTTCTATACGTAATACTCTCTCCTTCAAATTCTTTATGCTTTAATGGTCTCTCGTTTTCCCCAAATTGATTAGCGTATTTAGGGTTTGGGATTGTTATATCCCGAATTAATTGATCAAAATTGTTGTTTCAATTTTTGGTGGTTTTAGCTTGAGGGCTGTGAAGATTTTGAGAGGGTTTATAGAGAAATCGAAGCGAAGGAGATATGCATTGGGCATTCGTTGCTTTATGAATGGTATGCAATTTTTCTAGAGGTCAAAGGATTATGGCGAAGAGCACATTTGGTTTATCAGACTGGTCTTTCAAGGTCTCTTATCTTTCTCCTTTGTGGTTACAAGTTCTCATTTTTGTTCCTCTACTTGATAGTTTCATATATGTGTTGTTTTTGTTGCTCATTCTTGGTGAAATTTAGGAAAGCCCAACCATTTGACAGGTTAAAAGAGGCTCACTCATTGTTCTTGCAAAGAATCTCAAAGAGGACTAAGGCGTCTTCCCTTCAAAAGGTTGAGGACTAATATTGTTAAACATTCTACTCGGTTTTTCTAGTTCATTTCGATAGCTTTAGTTGAGGATTGAATGGAATCTTCCTTACATCATTCTATGGCAGATTGATGGTGATGATGCTCAGGCTGCTGACTTTGAGACTGGCTTTGTAAATCCTTGGGAAACCTCTACTGTGAAAAACTTAATTCTCAAGATAAAACCCCAGCTTGTGAAATATGATGTAAGGCAAATGACCATCATGATACTTTTTGCATGATTAAACCATAGGGAGGCTTGTCCACTGAGTTTCTTTATGTTTGCATTAGGGATACCATTCAAGCAATAAAGTTTTCCCCGGAAAAGCCAACCTTTCAACTTTGCTGAATTCTTCCAGAAATAAGGTCATTGATATAGGTAAACTTTTTTTCTTACCAATCTAGTCTGTCACGAGCAAATCCATAGCTCTGATTCTGTAAGCGTGTTACACCTCTGCGTGATAAAGAATGTTTCGTTTAAAGTTAAAGATGCCTTGTTAAAATTAGAATATGGCAGAGCATGTATGACCATGTCTACAGAGATGCCATCTTTCATTCATGTAAACGAAATTGATTTCCACTTTGTTCTCACCTGGGCGATATTTCTTTTCTGGGACGAAATAAGTTGACCAAGATACATTGATCTCTGTATATTTGTAAGGTGGAAGGAAGTACTTGATCAAGGGTTGTGCTGGTCAAGGTGGTTTTGCTCAAGTGTTTAAAGCACACATTGACAGCAATCCTGATGAAGTAGTTGCTCTAAAGGTTGGACCTTAAAAGTTTTATCAAATACAGTAATATGTCAAATGGCACAATTTTCAGGTAGCTCACATCACTAAACTCTTCACAGGTACAAAAGCCACCTTTCCCTTGGGAATTCCACATGTATCGCCAACTTGATTGCAGGATCCCAGAGAACCAAGTATGCACTTTTCCATAATCTTACCAGGTCACAGGCATTTTACAATGTACTTATTACTCTCATACTTTGTTAGAGATCAAGTTTTGGATTGGCCCAGAGAATGCACTTGTATTTAGACTACAGTATACTTGTCTGCGATTATCTATCAAACGGGACACTCCAGGTAGGTTTCTCCTGGACATTCACAGAAAATTATAAACCAAATGCAGCAATACTTCCCTGTTTAATTTGCCTTTCTTTTGTGATTTAAGGATGTCATAAACTCGTATGTCGTTGTTGGCAAGTCTATGGAAGAAGTTTTGTGCATGTATTACACAATAGAGATGCTGTACATGCTGGAAACTTTGCACAGTGTTGGAATCATTCACGGTGATTTCAAGCCGGACAATCTTTTAATTAGATACCCTCCGTAAGTTTTTTCTGTACCACTATTGCTTGTTAGATTGTGTGAATTGTGGAATTCAGATTATTTAAAAGACTTTTTGCTCATGAAGCCATATGCTTTTACATTAAGAGACTGAGATACCTCATTAATTATCTGCAGACAAAACTTAACTGAGACAGGCTTTCATGAGAAAACAGGTCCTTGGAGCAATCAGGTAAATCCTTTATACAACTACTAGTTCTGACTCGTGAGTCATTTCGACAATCAGATGAAAATTGATATTTCCGCACCTCAGGGTCTCTGTCTTGTCGACTGGGGTAGAGGAATAGACTTGAGCCTGTTTCCTAGCACCACCGAGTTCACTGGAGATTGTCGTACCTCAGGCTTCCGTTGCACGGAAATGAAGGAGAACAAACCTTGGAAGTTTCAGGTAACTCATGTTTACTCCCATCGTTACAGAAAGACTCGGTCTTTGCATGACTAAGACTCTAATCAATTTTAGGCCACTGGATTATATATATAGGCGGACACTTATGGACTCTGTGTAATCGTCCACATGATGCTGCACAACAGCTACATGGAGATAGGAAAGAAACAATCACTTGACGGTGGCCACATTAATTTGCCGAGAAATTCCTTCAAAAGGTGCGCTTATTTCTCAAAAATCAGTGAAGCTTGCATCGGTTGTTCTGGTTTTGTCTCTCAAATCAGAATCATTATTGTGATGAAATAAAGATTCACTGAGTTGTTTGCTTGACCTAACATTGCAGATACTGGAACGTGGATCTGTGGAAGGATCTGTTCACTAAGCTGCTCAACAGAGAGACGTGTGAAGATGACACAGAGACACTGAGGAATCTGAGAAAGTCTATGGAAGAGTATGTGTGCTCAGATCCTAAGCTAATGAACAAGCTTAACGAGTTACTTGCTAAACAACGCATCTCTTTATGCTCTTCCTAATTATTTTCACTCTGTAATGAAAGAATCTATGTAAAGTCTGTTTGTGTGAAGAAAAAAAAAAGAGAGAAACTTTGATTGCCTCTCAAGTAACGCAATTTGTTGTAGCTAACACATCCATATCGCACAACTTTGGATATCGCACACTTTGGTGTTTTCTAAGTGGTGTGAGTCGTATGACCTATTAGGCTATTACTAAACAGTTTCATATGCATTCGATACTAACAAATTATTCGAAATCATATAAATTTTGCATTAGATCATATAATTACTAAAAGTTTCATATGCATTGGAAATCATATAATTTTTTTGCATTTTAGATTTGAGAGAAGTTCAGCATTTTTGTCTCTCAAAAAGAGACCTCCTACAAAAGGCAACCACAACATTGCATTTTAACCAAAATACATTAATATAATAAGTAAAACATACATTTCGTATGTCGTTAGATACAAGGCATATTCATTCAAATTTAAAAACTAATATTTGTTCGTGACCAAAATAAAAACTATAATTTGACATATCATATAAAAATGTTTTTTTTGTTTAATTTTCTTAACATTTGTTCTTGAAAGAGTTTTATAAACCATAAAACAATCATTAGTTTAGAACCATAAAAGTATTATTATGACATTTAAGAAGATATGTTTATTAGAATGCTCACAGTTTGGCATAAAACTTTGGTGCTCTAACTCCAAACGGAAACCACAAACTTTACCTTCTTCTTTATTTTCTCTGGTCAAGAATTCGATCTTATTCAAGTTTTGCTTTTAACCA